TGGATTGAACCAACGGCTGGTTAGCCCCCGAGCCCAGGGCAGGTGGCCCATCACTGGCTTGTTTCGGTTCCTCATAGCAGACTGAGGGTTTGTACTGATCGCTGGCGAAGATGCCTGTCGGCATTGGCTCTCGACCGGACGTCGCTTTCACCAGCGCGTCGGCCGCCTCGTTGAGACGCCTCGGGATATGATTGAGCTCGAGACCGTCAAACTTGTCCTCCAGCTGGCGAACTTCTCGGTAATACACAAACATCTTGGCATTGTGGCAGCTTGATTCCTTTATGACTTGGTCGATGACCAGCTGGGAGTTGCCCTGGACGTCAAGCCATAGGATACCCAACTCGATGGTGATGTGCAAGCCATTGATGAGTGCCTCATATTCGGCCACATTGTTGGAGGAGGGGAAATGGATGCGAACCATGTACCTCATGCATACCCCAAGGGGGGAAACAAAGACTAGCCCTATGCCAATGCCTTTCTTCATCAACGATCCATCGAAGTACATCATCTAGTACTCTTGGTCGATGACTGCTGGCGGCATTTGGACCTCGGTCCAATCTGCAACAAAATTAGCTAGCACTTGGGACTTGATGGTCGTCCGAGGGCCATATGAAATACCTTGACCCATCAGCTCGAATGCCCACTTGGTGATTCTTCTCGTGGCATCCCTGTTTTGGACGACCTTACCGAGAGGGAAGGACATCACGCCCGTCACTAGATGCGACTCGAAGTAGTGACGCAACTTCCTTTTGGCAATGAGGACAATGTATAGGAGCTTCTGGATTTGGGGTAGCGGTTCTTGGAATCAGACAAGACCTCGCTAATGTAGTATATGGGACGTTACACTTTAAGGGAGTGTCCCTCTTCTTCTCGCTCTACCACCAGGGTGGCGCTGACCACTTGCGTGGTGACCGTGATGTAGAGCAGAAGCGGTTCCCCGTCAGTCGAGGGGGACCAGGATCGGGGCCTTCGTCAAAAGCTGTTTGACCGTGTCAAGTGCCTCCTCGGCCTCGGTCGTCCATTTGAAATCGTTGGCCTTCTTCAGGAGCCGGTAGAGGGAAAGACCTCATTCGTCGAGGCGCGAGATAAAGTGGCTGAGCGCGGCGAGGCACCCTGTAACTCACTGTACCCCTTTTATGTTCTGAATCGGGCCCATCCTCGTAATGGATGACATCTTCTCTAGGTTGGCTTTGATGCCACACTCAGAAATAATAAAACCTAGCAGCATACCCCTTGGGACAGCGAGCCCTTAGCCTGCTGTGCCGCCGCACGCTCGAGTAGCGTGTGAATCTTGCGATGGGCCCAATGATCCTCGGGCGTCGCGGGCCCTGGAAGCCCCCAGAGCAAGGCCGCCGTAGCAACGATGTTCTGGCTCGCTCGGGTGAAGTGTGGGAGGGCTTCATCATCCTCGATGATCCTCTGGTTCATGTCGCGGGCCATGATACGTGCACGCCCACCGTCTCCATGGCGCTCGGTCTCTAGCTCGAGCTCCGCACGTTCCAGCTCGAGCTGGAGTCATGCTTCCTTGAGCTCTTAGTGCTGGGCCTTCAGCTGCTCTACCCGCAGGCGAGGTGATGCCCTGCATCCCTCATGACCTCATCGTCGAAGTCGTTCATTGGGGTAGCCTCTCCCTCATGGATGCTTTTGATGTATCCCTCGAGGGTACCTGCCATGAAACATTCATAAGAGGGATGATGGCTCCCCCTGCTGGAGTCAGAGCTAGAGGCGTGACTCCGATTCTCCTATGAGGAGGTCGTGGAAAGATTCCATGACATATTCAGTCATCCCCACGAACTCGTCGTTCACGGGGAATGGAGGAGTGTGTTGCGCCACAAGGTGGCCAACGGTCTCTGCGGCGTTGCGGAGACCGGACGGGAGCGCTGTCGGGGTGCTCCAGATGAGGTATTCCAGAGAGAGCGGCTCTCCTCCGGCATGCTACGCCATGACATTGGCGAACGAGAAGGTGAGGTGGCGTAGGTCCTCCTAGGATGGTCGGGGTCTAGGAAGGCGCCGAGCTAGTGCTCTAACCTCCCGTAGTCAAAGCCAAGGAGCTGGTCGCTCCCGGGGGCGCGGGCCTCTAGTGCATGCAGCTGCAGCTCCTCAAGCGTCTCGACGATCACGTCGAGGCCGGTGGAGTGGAGAGGTTGGACGGTGGCGGGAGCCTGCGCCAACTCTCCCTCCGTTGTGATGATGAAGTCCAGGTCCCCGAAGCTCTCATGCACGCACGGGATCTAGCTGATGCCGTGACTGGCCATCCGAGACCTGAAGTGGACGTTGAGACGCGCAAAAGGCCCCTACCTGGCGCGCCAACTGTCGGTGTTTCGAGTTACCACCGACGAGTAAATTTCTAATATTGCGCATCTGGCTCGGATGGTGTGCTTAGAGGATACGAGGTTTATACTGGTTCAGACGAAAAGTCCCTACGTCCAGTTCGTTACTGCTGCTCGTGTTACTAGCACTGCAAGTTTATAGTTTGGGGTACAAACGAGCGAGAGAAAGACATGTCACAAGTCTCTAGTGAAAGGAGTGAAAGGGTGCTGAGAGCTCGGTTGCTGCTCTTGTGTGTATCTAATCAGTTCGGGGTCGGATCGGATCGGTCCTCGATGGGTCGATCCCCTCTATGGGACGCCCTGCTTTCCCTTTTATAGGCCAAGGGAAAGCACGTGTTACAGCAGAGGAAAAAGAAGAATGAGAGGGAGAATAAGTCCTTTAGTATCGTCGGGTCCTTCTTCTCCTTCATGCGGGTCCTGCTGACCCTGTAGATGTCAATATGGGCAGCTCCATGTCACGGCCCTGTCCGTCACTGGCGCCACGCGCAGGCGTCGTCTGCCGGTCATGGCGTTCCATTTCGTCCCAGCAGACGTCGTGATGAACTGACACACCTGTTAGCGTTCGTACGATGGTTAGGCAGAACAGCACCCACACGCCCAACGCTGTTCTTGATGTGAACTCTCAGATATGGCCCGTCGTGGCCACGAGTTACATCGGGGCGTGCCGGTCTCTTTCTTGGTGTCAGAGTTTTGACCTAGGCCCATACGCTTTGACCTAGAGTGGTTGGCGGTGGTATGGGTCTCCGTCGGGCGAGACGGAGCCCGCAACCTCGGGGTCAGGCAAGGCGGAGCCCACCCCCAGAGGTCGGGTGAGGCGGAGCCCACCCCCAGGGGTCGGGCGAGGTGGAGCCCGCGGCCTCGGGGTCGGGCGAGGCGGAGCCCGCCCCTAGAGGTCGGGCGAGGCGAAGCTTGCGCGCCTGGGGATCGGTTGGAGCTGTAGTCGCGCTCTTGACTGCTCGGATGAATCAATGTTGATGGTTATTAGCTCCTCTTCGGGTACCCTAGTATTGGTTTCCGACAACTATTTTAAGTGGCGTTGCGGTAGCTTAAATATCCCTTATGACCGTTTGGATCATTTCATTTGGTGAAATTAAAATCTACTTAATAAATTAGGCTATTTGGCTTGAAATTTGATATTGCACCGCTTTCCAAAGTTCACATATAAGTCTATCTTAAATTCATATGGTGGGAGATAGAAATTGATTCTATAGATCATCGTTCTATGTTTTTACTTTATAACTTATGACACGCTCTTCAACTCACTCCTCTATAATAGAAATGCAACACATAATTATCTCTATGGTATAGCCAACAATAATATATAATACACAATCATATTATCTTAATTAATATATGTCTAAATTATGATTATTAAATAAATTCAATTCTAAAGATCTAAACGGGCCTTAGTGCTTCGATTATATAATAATAACTATACATCGTAATGTCAATAATACTGCAAAGTCAACTAGGTAGCGACAAATGCAGCAAGTACAATTTTTTTTAGGACGGTGAAATGCGAATTTGAGGATTTGTCATAGACACAGGTTACTTCTTTTTATACTTCGTCTCACTACACAGTGTAAGCTATGCCAACAATCTTCTTCTGCTAATAGGATAAAATATAAGACATAGGACAATATATTTGCAACGAATAGAATATAAAAATATTCATATATAGTCTGCATTATATTCAACTGTAAATCTGTAATATATGGCACATCTGTTTTACTTTAATATAGAGTGTATAACACTATCTATAACAGAGTGCAAATGGTTCAGCTCATGGACTGACAGGCTCACGGTAGGCGCGGCAAGCCGGCAACGCCGCGCCCTGGGTTTCTAGTCAGGGTCTGGGTCTTGGGGTGGCTGGGTGCACACTGCACACCTCTACCGGCCTCACGCAACCAGGGAAACACGGTACACCGACAAGCAGAAGCAGGTAAAGGATCCACGCGGCACGGCGGGGTTGCATGCCCCGCGTCCCAACAGAAATATTATACAACACATATATATTTTAAAAAAATAATTAAATTTATTTTATCTATCTTCCTCCTTCTTTCTCATCGGTGACCACCGGCGTGGCCGCCGGCGACCAGGGAGCTCGCCCCAGCGCCCGCGTCCGCGCATCTAGCGCGTCTGTTTCTTTCTGGTTGGCAAACAGCAGTAGCAGAGTAAGTAGCTATTCTGATCCGACGGACCTCTCCCATATATCAGCTGTGTAGCAGACCAAGTAGCTGGCTCAGCTAGGCCATAGGCAGGGCAACACAGCACATACAGCATGGGACTGCTGCGTGCCCCGCGTCCCAAACCCCGCCACCTGACGCCAGACGGGCCACGAGATCTCATCAAGCGTGATTATTCGTTCCATTTCCATGTAGGCAAGCCTTCCAGTCGCTTCTCTCCCTGCCCAACCGAAGCACGGCACGGGCGCACGGCAGCTCCTGCACCCGCCACGCGTCCGCCCGCCCTCCCGCCCATAACCACGTGTGCGTCGAGGTGGCCCTCGCCTCCCCGGCCCGCTCCTATTATATCCTCGTCGAGCCCCTCACTAAAGCAGTCAGAGATTGAGGATCACCGATCACGGTCCCCAAAAGCAGCGGCTCTGTCACCTTCGATCGCGAGCTGCACCAGTTCGATCGGACCAAGGTCGCGTCGACGTCGACGGCGATGGACGCTCTCACGCGCAAGCACGTCCCCGAGGACGTCGGCCTCCGGAACACCGGCGAAGGTGAGTTACTCCCCGACCCCGCCGGCCACCGAGCCGATCGCTAGTCTGCGCTACGTACTACGCGTTCTCTCTTACCTTACTCTGTGATGCTGCGCGTGCAGTGGAGGACGAGGGAGCCGGGGGCCAGGCCCAGCTGCACCGCGACGAGAAGCAGCACAAGCCGGTGCTGACGAAGGTGAAGGAGAGGGTGAAGAAGATCAAGAACACCCTCGCCGGCCACGGCCACGGCCACGACGGTGAGCACGGCGGCGGCGACGAGCGCATGGGGGACGCAGGCACCGGCACCGGCCGCGGCAGCAGCAGCAGCAGCGAGGAGGCGGAGGAGGACGCGGTGGAGAAGGGCGGCTACATGGAGGACGTCGAGGACAAGCCAGTCGTCATGGAGTCCGACCCCGAGGTGCACGGCGCGCCAAGTAAGTGCTCCCACCTGTTCACCGGCGCCGCGTGCTAGGTTGATTCGGTTGCACGTGTGCTTACGTGTCTGCGCGACCCGTTTGCAGTGTACGACTCGGCGAGGGCACCGGCCCTGCAGGACCTCGTCGCCAAGTACGATCAGCCGGCGCGCACACCGGCCGTGCAGGAGGTGGAGGGCGACGGCGCCGAACCTAGGGTGCGGCTTGGTGATATCGGCGGCCCCGTCGTCGAGGATCCGGCCGCACCGCGCTCCACGACGCCCGCCGCGCGAGGTATGGCACACGCCGAACGCCACTCGATCATGTCTTTTGTCACTCTGCTCGTGTTGCCCTGGCACTTGACACGTTTCCTTTTCGTTGCAGAGGGTGAGGACATAGGCACGACGCCCGTGGTGCAGCAATTCGAGACGATGAGTTTGTCCGACGACCCGGCGCACGTGGGCGCGGGCAAGAAGGGCGCCAAGGCAGAGGAGTGGAAAGACAAGCCGCGGACACGGTGGGCGGCGCGGCCGGTGGCGCTAGCTACACGGACAGGCTCAAGAACGCGGCCGCCGGCAGCACGGAGTACGGCAAGAATCTAGCGAGCGCCAGCGTCGGCACCGCTGTGGGCGTGGGGAAGCGCGACGACGAACAACGCACGGAGGCGGTGCCGGCGTCGAACACCGCCGGCGCGGAGGAGTGCAGAGACGCCCCCGAGGCCACGGACACGGACGCGACGAGAGGCGCCAGGTACACGGACAAAATCAAGTCGGCGGCGGCGGGCACCACTGGGTACGGCAAGCAGCTGGCGTCCACCGTGTACGACAAGGTCGCCGGCGTCGGCACCGCCGTCGCGCCCAACCTCCGTCCGCAGGAGAGCTCGGCGAAGGCGGAAGGCGCACACAGCGAGGCAATGCCGGTGTCGGACACCGGCGCTGAGGAGTGGAAGGACGCCCCAGCTGCCACGAACGCGACCAACACCGCGTCGGGGCCGGCGGGCTATACGGACAAGATCAAGTCCGCGGCTGCCGGCACCACGGAGTACGGAAAGCAGCTGGCGAGCACCGTGTACGAGAAGGTCGCCGGCGTCGGCACCGCCGTGGCGGGCAAGATCCAGCAGGCCACGCAGTCTGCCGGCACGGCGACGCCCGGGCCCGGCGTGCAGCAGGACACGGCCACCCCCGGCGCCGGCGGGCAGGACAAGGGGGTGACCCCCGTGCAGCGGCGCAAGGAGGACGTCGGGGGCACGGTAGCGCAGCGCGTGCCGGCGCCCGGTCAGGTGATCACCAAAGCGCGCGATGCCGTCACGTCGCTCACCGGCGGGAACCGGGTCTCCGAGACCGTACAGCCAACCACAGCCACAGGTACATTGGAACAATAGAACTACTTTTTTTTTTTTTTTTTTGCTAGAAGGAACTCACCATTAGCAAAGCTGACGAGAGACGGGTTGCAGGGGAAGACGTGAAGGAAGGCTATGCGACGGAGGCGCCTGTGATCCGCGGGGAAGAGATCGGCAGCGCGGAGCTGAACACGAATACCAAGTGAAGTGCTGCTACTAATGGAGTCTGGAGAGCACGGCTGCTCTGTGTGATTATTGTGTCAGGTTTGCGTACACGTGAATGATGTGGTTTGCGATGTGGAGCCGAAGCTGGAATAAGCGTGCTGGTTGTGTTCGGCGTGGTGCGCTCTGGTTTTACATGTTTGTATATCAACATTTCCACAAGTTGTTGTATGTATATATATGTATATGTTGAAAAAAATGTTCCGTTTTTGTTGCGTTCGTACAGTCGTACTTGTCGCGTGCTGCATCCAAATGTTCTGTTTTTACAGTGCTGGCAAATAAGAGCCATCCATTTAGATAGATTTAATAGATCTGATGGTTTTAAAATAGTAAGAACCACTACCGATGAACTTAAGTTATAGCCCAAAATCTAAAATACTTCGTGAACGGTCAGGAACTAATTTAGGCTGTGTTTAGTTCGCGAAATGAAAAATTTTGGATGTCACATCGGATGTTTCGGGGATGTCGGATGTCACATCGGATGTTTCGGGGATGTCGGAAGGGGTTTTCGGATACTAATAAAAAAAAACTAATTACATAGCTCTTCTGGAAACTGCGAGACGAATTTATTAAGTCTAATTAATCCATCATTAGCGTATGTTAGTACTGTAGCACTTATGGCTAATCATGAACTAATTAGTCTTAAAACATTTGTCTCGCGATTTCCAACCAAAATGTGCAATTAATTTTTTTATCGTCTATATTTAATACTACATGTATGTACCGTAAGATTTGATGTGATAGTTTGTGGTGAAATTTTTTGAAAACTAAACAGGCCTTAGCTGTTGGCTTGTTTCCGGAAGGGTACCAACACGGCACGAGCATGTACAACCTCGTCATGAAGGTTTTCGACGAGCGTGGGGAGGTCAAGGCGATGTGGCGGCTGTTTGAGGAGATGACGGAGAAGGGCCTGCCTGTCTCTTCCCGGACGTTCCACCTCTTGATATGTGCACTAGTCCTTCGGGCGCGCTCATGCGCGCGGGCCACTGGCCACACGGTTTTTTTGAAAAAAAAATATATAATCAAAGTTAGCCTGTATGTTGATTTGAGAAAAATCCGAGCAGGTTTTCGCAAAAAATGATGAAATGGTTTGTGGAGCGCGGGCGGATTTTCGACAAAGATAAGGGTTTTTTTGAAAAAAAACTGGAGGCCATCCGTTCTGGACCGCGGGTTGATTTGAAAATAATCTGAAGTGTTTTTTGCAAAATATCCTGAGAGGGACTCTGGAGCGCGGGTTGATTTCTGGAAAAAAGAAGGGTTTTTTTGAAAAATGACCATGGCTCGCCCGATCTGACCCGTCCGCGCGGCCGATCGAACAGCCACGAAATACAAACGACGTGGCACGTTGGGTGACCGGCTACTCTTTACGCTTTCTTGTCTTTAGATCTGGGAAGGTTGGGTTGAGGCGGAGGCTGGTGGAGAGGTCATCAAGTCGAGTACTTTCAACTACCGTGCACACACTTCTGACCATAGAGCAGTACTCGCTGATTGAGTGGGTTCACGAGAAAATGATCCTTGAGGGGTACTCACCTGATGTCTTTGACATACAATGTGGTGATGCGTGCAAAGTATATGCTCGGGAAGTTGGATCAATTCCATCGGTTACTTGATGAGATGGGAACAAATGGGCTTACGCCGGACCTCCATACTTAGGCCCCGTTCAGTTGCCAAAAAATTTTGCATAGTAACTGTCACATCGAATCTTGCGGCACATGCATGCAGTACTAAATGTAGACGAAAAAAAAAACTAATTACACAGTTGATCGAGAAATCGCGAGACGAAACTTTTGAACCTAATTAGTCTATAATTAGACACTAATTACCAAATACAAACGAAATGCTACAGTGAGCCAAAATCCAAAATTTTTTAGATCTAAACGCACCCTTACAATCTGTTGCTTCATGTGCTTGGTAAGGGAGACAAACCCCTCGCAGCTCTCAATTTGCTGAACTATATGAGTGATGTTGGGTGTGTGTGCCAAATGTGCTCCATTTCACAAATTTGATAGATGGTCTTGGCCGTGCTGGCAACCTATAAGCTTGCAAGTATTTCTTTGATGAGATGATCAAGAAAGGGTGTGACCCAGATGTTGTCTGCTATACTGTTATGATCTCAAGGGCCAGTTTGGATGCCAAATTTTTGGCAAAATGCTACTTACAATCTTTTCGTTGTTATTTGGTAATTAATGTTCAATTATAGTCTAATTAGGCTTAAAAATTAAATCTCGTGGATTTCAATTTGCTGAACTAAACTGTATAATTAGTTTTATTTTTTATTTATATTTAATGCTTCATGCATGCGTTCAAAGATTCTTTGTGACGAAGAATCTTGAAAAATTTGGTATTTTGGGGTGCACCTAAACAGAGCTCAAGTTATGTGGCAGCTGGGGAATTTGAGGAAGCCCAGAGGTTTTTTTATGATATGCTGGTGAGAGGGCAGCTTCCAAATGTGTACACATACAATTCAATGATACGGGAGCTTTGCACAGTAGGGGAGTTTGATAAAGGCATAAAGCATTCGCTATGCTGAAGGACATGGACTCACATGGATGCACTCCAAACTTCTCTGTGTACAGTAGTCTAGTAAGTAGACTGCGGATTGCTGGGAAGGATACTCAAGCTAATAATGTCATTAAGTACATGACAGATAAGGGTCATTATCTTCATCTGCTGTCAAGGTTTGGAGGATTTAGAAGATGGTGAGATGAGATGCTCTATAGTTAGATAGCACCGCCTCGCCCGACCCTTGGGTGCACACTAAGCCTCGCCCAACCCTAGGGTCTCAAGCCCGCCTCGACCGACCATTGGGTCTCACTGCTGGCTCAAGGCTGCGCTCCGCCTCGCCCGACCCTTGGGCTCTGCGTGTGGTGGCAAAACCGCCCAATCTAATGCCTCCCAGAGTACTTGTCTTCCATTAGGCACTAAGTACTCAAGGAAGGACAATAAATTACGCAGATTCAAAATCGAGCACACACCACAAGGGAGAGCCCAAAAAACCATATTTTTCATCAGGATCACAAACGAGAGAATAAATCTTACAACATTCTTAAGTCATTTCTTACATCACTTTCCATGCAACATCAGAGTATAATATTTATTGTTTATAACAGCGGAATATACCCATGCTATCAGAGTTTCAGCGGAAATAAAATCATTTAACGACAAGTTAAACATTAACATGATGATCTGTTATATACATCATAACAGGTTATAAGGAGGGCGGCGCCGTTGATGACGCGCGCGCTCCCGCTATACGCGATGGCGCCCGAGGCGTCATTCGACAGAACAACGCTCGCCGAGGGAATGCTCCCCAACTCTGAGATCGCCCAACGCATAAAGGAGGCAATGGAGCCTTTGTGGGATGACGTGAGTGCCACCCTCGACTTCATCTACTCGATGCCGAGGCATCCTCCGATGCGGCCGGAGCCAGGCTACGTCGTCTTTGTAAGTTTCCCTTTCTCTTGCCTTCTCTTCAATTGATTTCCTAACCCCGTGATACTAACTTTGAGAGGGGCGGGACCAGCCGAGGGACCTCATCCTCATGGACCACCTAGCGCCGCTACCGAGGGATCTAGCCATGAGGACGACGAATCGTGCCAAGGGTGAGCGGCTGAGGAAGGCGAAGGAGGACAAGAAGAGGAAGAAGCAGCGAAAGCTGTAGGCACAGGAATGAGGGGAGGACACCGATGATGACAATGATGATGATGATGATGAGGTGATGGAGGGAGAAGAGACGGTAGCTGATGATATCGAGTGGGACAACCTCGAGAACGAGGATGCGCTGCAGGCATCGGTTCATCCTTGCAGGCGTCGGGACCCTTTCCATTCCATGGAGGGGAGGACAGGTCTAGGGAGCCAGCAAAGGCGGGCCATACCGTCGGCGTCACCTAGGAACCAGCAGAGACAAGGCTTACCATCGGCCTGCCCTAGGAGCCAATAGAGGTGAGCGGCTCTGCCGTCACATCCAAGGTGCTAGCGAAGGTGGGCAGTTATGCCATCGTGCCTCAAGAGCCAAGGGGAGCGAGCCCCTCTGCCCAGGAGCAAAGGGCGGGCTCAAAATGGACTCATCCTGATGAGGCAGAGTGAGGGTCGGGGGGTTCGCCCCCCCAAATGCATCTGCCGCCCGACGGCGCTGAAGTGAGTTATCAGTTCCTCTGTTTTTTCCTGTTTTAGTCAGATTTCATCATGACTTATGTTTTTTCGTCCCTTGCAGCGTCGATAGGTAGCAGAATCCTTTGGCGCTGGTGTCGAAGAAGAGCATCGCCCTCCAATCGAGGCGGCAGCCGTCGGCTGGTGTCACGCCCATTTTGGGCGGGAGCGACGCTAGTGTGACCGTGTCGTCGGTCGGTCGGGCGCCGTCCACGGTGGCACCCGTGCCCTCGACGAGATGGGCGGATGTGAGCGCTCAAGGGGTGCCCTTGGAGGTTGCGGAGTAGACGGTGATGGCCGCGATGCCGTGCTGACGGCGGGGTGGATGGGGCTACCGACCACGCTCGTGGTGCCAACCGTGGCGGGCGCAACACAGCCAGTCATGACCCCGCCGATGCATGTGGAGGTGGCGGTGTCCGTGACAGACGGGTCATAGCCGGATCCAACCGCAGCGGCGCCTGAGGCACCGGCGTGACCCGTGCCATCGGCGGCCCAAGCGATGATGCCTAGCGCATGGCAGACGGAGGGGGACGCAGCCAAGGGGTCCCTAGGAGTCATGGTGCTAGGAGAGAGTAGGCATTCCCACCGCTAACCCCTTCCATCGCTGGAGGGGGCGTCTCGATGGGGACATCACAGCGAGAGGGGTCGGTGACGCTTGGAGCCGACGGGGAGTCGTCCTTGGCCCTAACGTCGGTGGGTAGTGGCTCGCCTCCAGTGGGCTGATCCGTAGGATCCGGCATCGATGCTTTTCACCCTCGACGATGCTGCAGAGAGAATGGAGCGGGAGAGCCTCGACGTAGTGATCGCGTCCGTGCTCGAAGCCCTGAACCACACT